GGCCTACTCTAGATTAGAGAGGTTAGATTCGATCCTACCAAGTGTCCCCACAATACGTGCCGCTCCCAGCCAGTGCACTGCAATTTCGCCCATCCTATTACGGCGTTAGCGTGGCCATGTGTGTCACAATGTAATGGCATAATTCCTGGTCAACAAGTAAATGTGATCATTTAGGTTTTTTGCATGTTGTACTTATTTGTTGGCAAAATGGATGTTGACAATCGTAAAAAGCGCAATATTCCATTGGTGATTTTTGATGCTCTCCTTCAGTGCGTATCACTCTCGCTCTCTGGTGCCTCTTCACTATATCCTCTGCCTATATTTATTTCATAATCATGCATTTGAGGGATGTGGGGCGAAAAGGCAGTGAGTAATCAGCTGGTAGAGAACGAACGTGAATCTGCCCCTCACTTGCTGCAATCGCCATATAAATATAGAGCGAAAATGTGAGCGGCGTCATGTAACCGCTTCTCTTTATCTTAAAGACACGCTCCGGATAAGACATACTCACCTGTTCCATACCCGAGCGTAGTAGGCAGGCGGACAAGCGTTGATGTCGCGCCCCTTTTGCGGCTTGAAAGTGCGCGACAAAGGCGCTGGAAGCTCGCTCGACCCGCAATCCACACCTTCGTCCGCAAGCCCCGCCTTCCGCTGTCGGTTGCCACGTGGCGCTGCTTGAAAAGCGCGGGCGCAGTTAGGCAGCGGTTCCATTGCGGTTCAATGTCACTAGCGTTGGAGCACTCCTATTTTATCTCGAAGCTTGCCCTTAATAAATCTTAAAGTGATAATGGCGGCACACATGTAAATTACTGGTGGTCTTGTCGGACACCACTTTTTCTTGGGGCACAGAAGATGCGCCGCAAGTGGGTGATTGATTATGTGGTGATGAATTTTACATATGCTCATGGAATCAAACCCTCCTGACAACTGTTCGTGATGCTACTAGCTTCGTTCTATAGCAGTTTTAGCCTAGCCTATGATAATCAAGTCGAGTTTACCAGCTTCAACCGTTAGTTCGGACAATGTGTAAGGGTCGTACTTCGAGTTGAGGGGTGGGGGTACTGGTAGTAAAAGTTAAAGGTGTCTTTTTTTAGGACTTGGAAAAAAATTGCTGAAATTTAGAAAAATGTGTAGAATTTGCTATTTCATGAGATGTACATACCCTTGCCTCCGCTGGACCACAGCTTAGAAGAATTTGGGGGGCGGAGTTGGAGGGTGTCATATGGTGTCACAATCAGATACTATATGTAGAAACAGTCATGGTGGTGGAGTAGGTGGTAGTGGTGCGGGTCATACACGCGCCCCTTCTAGAAAGAGATTTGTCTGATTTCAAATTTCGCATATGAAGGTTTGCCCAATCTTGACGCCTTAATGTATAGGACATGTGAGCAGTGTGACAGGGAAACCTGTATTGATCGCGTTTTCTCGCCACACCCTCTTCAGGGTCAAGTTGGCTCTTACGCGACGCCTGACGGCCAAATTTTGCGGCCGCATCAATCCGATGTCAGACTTTGCGAATCGAGCGATTCGCTAGCGTCCGCGGTCGCGTTGTTGCGGTACCAGCCAATTGAGTGATTCACTGGCCGCGACGCGACCGCAGACGCTAGCGAATCGCGCGATTCGCAAAGTCTGACATCGGCCTCATTCTCACCGATCACGTATTATAGGTTCAAATAGGGTCTCAGCCAGAGAAGATGCATGTGGTGCGACCTAAAAA